CCTCTCCTCTCCTCTCCTCTCCTCTCCTCTCCTCTCCTCTCTTCTCCTCGCTTCGCTTCTCCAGAGGAAAATTATATTTTTGTTTCTAGTGTCTAGTCTCTTTGTTCCTGATGCAAGAGAATCTCCTTTAGTGTGTTAAACACCACTGCACTGCACTGAATCCATAACCACTCTGTATCAATGCCACCTTTATCCCCATAAACCTTTCTTAGATCTCAAACCCCGTCCTTCCACCAGGTTAATGAGCAAGGAATAAAAAGAGAAAATGGCCCCTTCTTACAGCTGCCTGGCTTTTTTGCTTTAGCAGATTTGGCCTCTGGTGGTCTAACATCTGAAGACAGATCCATGAAATGAGTGCTTTGCCAATGAGCCAGAAGCTTTCCAAAGAAAAATGAGCCGTCCCTCTGTGCTGGAATAGAAGCCAGAAGTGACTTTGCTGTGTGTGACCTTGAGAAAACTACTGTACTTCTCCACTTCTGTTTCCCCCTCTGTAGGAGTGGTTACAAATTACTGCCTCACGTAGATCTAATGAATATTAATGAGTAAATGTTTTAAAGTATATTAAAAGCATATAATTGCTCTTCAAGTTCCAGTTGTTCTCATCACTAAATTTGATTTAGTTCCTGGATCTTTTACTAAGTTCTATTATAAACACTATAGAACATTAACTTAATTTACATACTCAACACTTAATTACAGAAAAAAATCTGGTACTCACGACATCTATTTGTGGCGTATCTCAGGAGAGTATCTTAATCTCTTATCAGCTATTACAGCTATTACAACTATTAGGACTTGTCATTTGTCCTTCTAGTTTGCTTTCATTTTCCCTGAGAAACTGCCAGTTTTATGTCAGGTTAAATTGCAACAGAGAGGACTGTAATTTCCACATTACCTTTCTTCTGAAACCTCTATTGCTAGTTTAAGTCCAAACTTCAAACAACTTTCAATTCTTACCAAAAGAATATGGGTCAAGCCTAAATAAAATGCAAATCTAGATTCCGGAATCTTTTTTCTTTTTATCATTTAGAATGCATTCTAAAGACTACTAAAAATCTGATAATCCCTGTCACCAAAATGCATGGCTTGATTCTCCTGATTCAATTGAATTTGAAAGGATTGAAGCCTATGAGACCTTGTCCAGAAGCAATGCGTCACAAGCTGCAGAAAAAGAAGCTTCAGAAAACATTCTTGTGCTGCTGTAATATATCTTTAATTTTGACTTAGCTTCTTGATCTGATATAGTCTTATTTTCTGTTTTGTCCATACACTTCTTAGTCTATCTGGTAAGATGACAATTTGAATTATTCTGTGGACATTTGCACAACTAGCAGCTAAATCAAGGCCACTGAAGAGCTCTTAAGTGGCAATGTCTCACTCTGGGCTAGAATTGAATCTGTGATAGAACAGTGTAAAATCCATGTCCAAAAGACACTTTGTGAGACTGGTTCTGCTGGGACATCCAGCCACTTCAAACTATAGATTTATGAATTAAATGCATTAGGCATTCCTGCCATTGACCTGTAAACTTTATGAAACATATTTGAGTCAGAAAACATTTATCTTCCATAAAACTTGTCAGAAGAATTGCTTTTTGTCTAAACCTTAGCATTGCCTAAGGAAAGAAGCATGTGATATTTATAGCTCTGCCTTCGCTTTCTCTCTCATACACACAAATTGTATAAATATATATACAAGGGTTTGAAGTTTCGCCCATTTTTGCTTTAGCTGATAAGCACAGAACAGTGTATCTGAAAACTTGCTGATAAAAATTGACTTCTATTCCAGAACCAGAGTGGCTGGAATGACAGATGAGAAGTGTGTGTTTTTCCCACTGAATTTTGTAGGAGGGATTTCACTTCTTTCTTTTAGATCCCAGCGGTAACATGAGTATCAATATATTTAAATTCTAATTTCTCACTAAAATCTTTTCATACTAGAATGCCTTAAGCCGTGGTGCTGTGACTTTTTTTTGCTCTTTTGACCACATAAAGGTGATATGACAGGTTCTTGTACTGGCCAGCTGTGAATTACTCAAAAATATGTGATAAGATAAGCTTGTTTTCTTAAAACAAGTACTTGATTAGCTGTGGCTTTAAGCTCTAAATTTGTTGGAAAGCATAAAGCTGATTTGAAAGAGATTGTTTAAAACAATAAAATATTTGAATAATGCTGAAAGAAAATCTGTGGTGTAGACCAACTTACAAAGTGGGGTTTTTTTATTAACGGCTCAGAGGAATTTATACACAGTGGAAATAACCAGTGACCTTGATTTGTCTTTCCTAAGTACGTAGACTGCAATACTGCAAGTATTTCACAAGTGCTTTGCTTAGACAGCTGACTTAGTCAAAAATTATGTGGAGAAGGCTGATTTCAATCAAGAAAAACACAAGACATCAGGAAAAATGAGGGACCTAAAATAGAAAGTAGTATTATCAAGAGAGTGGATGATTCAGAAAAATTATGATGAGATGAGAAGCTTTCTTCTTCTAGACCACTAGTTCAAATGAAGATCTACTATGGTAATTTGTAAATTTTGTTGCCATCTGATATGTGCTTGGAAAGCTCAATTAGTGAGCCACTTTAATATCTGCTACCCTGTGTGCGGTCACATGTGGATGTATCTGTAACCTACATGCATCCTTCACAGAGCAGTGAAGCACCAAATGGTCCTGGATGCTGAACTACTTTTTGCTGAACTATTTTGGGGATAAAAATGCTTTTAGGTCGAGCTTGCTGAGATTTAATATAGAAATTTGCAAGTCAATTTTTCATGAATCTTTCGTACTTTGTAACACAAGTCACAGGCCATCACTGAACAAGTGGAGTTTCTTTCTTCTCACCAACAAAGGAAAGATGTGCAGCTCATTTTTTTATTCATCTGCAATGGTAAACATTGCAATTAGCAAAATGATTTCTTTGAAGCGGTATATAACAATAACAACATGATGTGGATTGCTCACAGGAACTGAAGCCTTTTATTCTTCTTAATCCCCAAGCACCATATGGACAGGCATTATACAAGTACACTGCAGTCCTTCAGTGCAGTCCTTCAGTACAGTCCTGCAGCACAGTCCTTCTTAGATGTGCTGTGGTAGCCATTGAAGAGTCCACATCAACTTTAGAGTTAGAAGGAAGAGAAATGTTTCAAAATGACTCAGCAGAAAGTGTTTTAAGGGACAAAATAAAAGTTTCTTTCCAAATGTGGAGTCCCTCAGGGGTTCTCAGTAGGCTAAAATATTTAAGGGAGATGGGGAGTCAGGTCAGACACATATTTGAGAAGGGCTTCAAGAGCAGCTTGGCTAGGACATCTCTTTTCACAGCTATGTTCTTGTGGAAAGTGAGGTGGGAGCTTGACATAGCAGCTGTCCTCCAGGCAGATATTCCCTGGCTTGACTACAGCTGTTGTCTCTGTTGGGATTCAGAGGTAGAGCTGTTTCTGCTGACTCACAAATAATCTTCAGCAGCCATCACTTCCATCTACCAGTCTCTTCTTTTCATTTCACACAGGGAGAAAAAGCAGCATGAGCCATGAGATAAAACTTGGCTGTGAAATCTGGCTGTATTCTTGGCTTTGCCTTTCACCTGCTGTTTGACTTTCGTCTTCAACTTTTCATGTTCCAGTTTCCTTATTTGTATTGATATCTTCCCTGGTAAAGCAGTTTGATGTCAACACATAAAGAGAGCTAAACAGTAGCAATACTAATGCTGGTCTGAATTTCCCTTTCCTGTGAGAAATAATCAAACCACCATTTATGTGACAAAAAAAAAAATTACTTCAGAGACCAATAAAGATTGAGCTCCAGGGCCTGGCACTTGAGGCATGTCATACATCTCTTAGGATAATGGAAATATAAAAAATAGGTATGACCACTTTGCTTCCCAAATTTGCGTGTAGATAGATTATATCTTGTCTTACTATATCTATGTCTTACTACTGTAAGACAAGTCCAACAAAGTGAACATAACCTTGGTTGCACTTCTCATTGGAACCACAGCATGTGCAGATCATATACCCCCCTCAGTGATCTTTTGTAATGTTCTAGCAGAAGGATGTTAAAAGGGAAATAATCAATTTTACTCAATGTCTTCCCAGGTGATACAGATGTGAATATAGTAAGGAGAAATGGAAAACCATCTGTCAGCTCATATTTTCCAGCAGTATTGGGATTATTTTATTAATGTCTCCTGATTCAATGGCTATTCCAGTGTGGATATGTAAATTTCCCAAGGTTTTAGTGCACTCAGACACAAGCTACGATACACGGGTGCTACTGAACTTGAGAAGCAGAGAGCATTTAGAAAATACACTCCAGGTTCTCTCAGTGCAGTGGCTCAGTCCGCGTCTCCTTTTCAGCTCCGCTCTGCCTCCCTGTTGCTCTACATCCTGCCCAGTTTCATGATGCAATGCTAAATGGAGGCTGCTCCTCTTTCTTCTTGCCCTTTGTACTGCCAGCTCAGCTGTGCAGCCTCACCCGTTTCCATAGCTGTGTTGTGAACCCAGGTTAAGAAAAAAAAAAGGATCAGATTCACCACACAAGTAGTACTGCAGATACTGCTTGTATGCCCCCAAAGTGTGCTGCCCATCTTCATGACTCTCAGCAGTTCTTAGGGTCTCTTTTCTCCAAATATAGTTTCACGTGCTTGTTTTGGCTCTTTTGCACAGTCCCACCCTTGTCTTCTCAAATCCATCAACATCTCCTTGCGCAAACAGCCCAAGTCATAGATTCCTGCTGCCTTTCTATGCTCTAAATCCATTCCTTTCCCTCCTCCCACTCTCATGCTTCACTTTGTCCTTTCAAATCAAATATTTTCTTCTTATTACCCAAGAGTCTATAGAGAGGGCACACAGCTCTCAGATTGAACACATATTTGTCACTGTAAGTAAATGTCTGAGATTTCAATTAAGCCTTGGAGCTATATTTGCCACAGATCTTTAGGATTCGTTCTTTAGTCCTGGTTGCCTGAATTTTTGCCTATGCTGTCTTGCCTCTCCCTAATAAGTGCTGTAGCCTAATTCTGTACTGAATGAACTAATGAGATGTCTTCTGGTCAGGAAGATTTTTCTATCTTCACTTCTTTTCAGTAAGGAAAGACTTTCTTAAATACAGCAAGAGAAGCAAATCTGACTTCCGTTGTGATGTTTCTTGTAGTTTAATCATTTGTTTTTCTTTCTCAACAGCTCTGGTTTACATGCAGGTGACAGTGTTACAAAAACAGGACCTGGAGGCCTTCCAGACATGAGACAAGTGCCAACTGTTGTGATCGAATGCGATGACAATAAAGAAAATGTGCCTCATGAACCGGACTATGAAGATTCTTCCTGCCTTTACACAAGACAGGAAGCAGAAGAGGAGGAAGATGAAGATGAAGATAACTCATTATTTACAAGTAAGACTCATTCCATTTCTCCCTTTCGTTTATTTAATTTTTCCTTCCTTTCAGTGCAAAAGGCGAACACAAAGCCTGTGGATTTTCTTTCTAGACCGTGCTGTTGCATTTCTCAAGGTTCAACTACCTGGGCACACTTGGTAAATTAATCAAAAATAACCAGCAGCATCATTTTTTTGTTGTTGTTTTTAACTACATCAATCCCTGTACTGGTAGCTTTCATATCAACAACAAATGCCGCTTATGTGACTACCAAATGCAGCTGATTTTTGGATTTGCTTTCCTACGTGTTCTTGATGTAGATAAGTACTTCCTTAGGCTTAAATTCAGTAGAGTTGAAATAGGTACTGATGATAGAGATCAGACCTTTTATACATTGTATTAAATCAAATCAGAAGTGTAAGTTTGCACGTGCTTTGAAATGGGTCATGGTCCGTGAAATAAACTTCTAAATGTAATCTTTTTATTCTTTCTTTCTTTTTTTTTTTTTAAATCTGGATTTTCAGAAACGCTCTGCATTGTCCTGTATTGCCACTGAAGGCAGGGAGGCCTTGCCTATGATTTGAGCAGGAGGAAAATTAAACCAGCACTCACTAACTTTGAAATGACAATCTCAAATGCTTTGGTCAAACTTAAAGGATTTCCTTGGCTTTTTTCATCAACATTCTTTAAATGCTACCCCATTTTATACTGATAAAGATTTGACAAAGAATAGAAAAAATAGCTTTGAAAATTACGTGCAAGAAAAAAAATAAAAAGAGGAAGAGAAATTAATTTTTATTCTTAATAACACACCTAGAGGGAAGACATGTGTTTAACATGATCTGTAGTGTATAATTTAGATTATACTGACAGAATTATCCAGATGAAATCAAATGAGAACAATATACAGGCATACAATTGAGCTCAGGGCTGCTCTGCTACTTCTTACTTTATAAATGCCCTGAGCATGCAGATGAGAGTAAGTTGGTCTGTGCTTTGATAGATGCTAGAGTTCTGATATTGCTCTACCTACTTATTAACCATAATCCTGGAACTCCTGACTTGATCTTATTCAACTAAGGATCTGAATTTGATTTTTCCATGTAGTGTTTTTACATGACTGTAACCCCTCTCTTTCCACATATGGTGGCTCTGCTGCCCACTAAGATTCTGTGGTTGAATTGTTCATCCCCCTACTTGGTACAGAAACACACTAGGCAAAACTACAGATACTTGAAGCCATTATGAAAAAATCTTTCTTCTCCAGTCCTTTCTATGAAACACTTTTTTTTTATTTCTTTTTCCTGTATACAAAATTCAGCCTTTCCTTATTATGTTAGGAATTGAGGCTTATTGAACAACTGACAGTTAACTGTCCCACAGCCCACACGAGTGTAAGAAAGAGTCCGGTATCCTACAGAACTACTTTGCTGGCCACATGCTGTAATGAAATGATGACACCTCCTTTGGCAGAGCCTCTCCTCTCTCCTGCAGGTTCCTTGGCAATGAAAGTCTGCAGGAAGGACTCCTTAGCAATCAAACTGAGCAACAGGCCGTCCAAGCGAGAGCTGGAGGAAAAGAACATCCTCCCGATGCAGACTGATGAAGAGAGACTTGAACTCAGGCAGCAGATCGGGACAAAGTTAACAAGGTAAGAGAGCAACTGCAATTTCCTAGCTCTCACTGTTAAAAATATGAGGTGGGGGCACAGCTACAGTTTTTTCATTGGTCAATGAAAGTTTAAGATGAGTTCGTTCACAGTGTTCAGCTTAGGAAAAGCCATGGAAAAAAAGAAAACTCTAGACATTGCTTCTGCTCCACTGTGATTTCCTGTACAAGGACTGCTTTTCATTTTCCTAGAGTATCTTACGAGATCTTTGGTTGTGTGAGTAGCAAAATGAATTGTGTGGATTTAATTGTTTCCAGTGCATGCATGGGGAGAGCTCTGCTTTGATAATATTTTGGGTTGTAGCTGTAGGTGGGCTATTTGGCAGGTCACTGGCTTGGCAAAATGACAGAAGAGTAATTTTTCCTCCTGGCAATGTCTCCATTGAGTGGTTGAGCCTTTTCCTCTTTCAAAATACTCATGTCCTTCAGGACCTCTTTTTGATGGGTCAAGCTTAGGTCAATTCCCCCTGCCTAGCCTCTTTCTTCTGTATAACAATGTAACTCATCAACTGATCTGTTTTTCTGTATTGCCTCCATATAGATGGGTGGCTATTAAACATGGAAGATTTATGTCAAGAATTAGTGATCTGAGACCATGTGACAGTGTTATCTGTAATTTCTAGAGTCAACTTAATACTGTTATGTTGTCATCTCACTGGAGATGGCAGAGCTGATGAATACTGGTTGCCTTCCGGTGTGACTTGAGAAGACCACAAGGAGAAGACCAGTTAGTCATTGGAGTTTTTTTTTTTTTTTTTTTTTTTTTGGGAAGTGGGGAACAGCTCCCATGCTATGAAGACAGAAAGAATAGCAGCTTGTAATAAACACCTAATTCATTCTTTTACCTATTTCTGTCATGGCCTGTCTCAGTCACTTCCTTTTTGGGATAAAATAACCACATCTTTCCAAACAATCTTTGAAAATGTTTCCTGGTGTCTGCCTACTTTTACTCTTCTCCAAAACCGATCTAATTTTGCAGTGTTCTTGCTAAGAGGGCCTAAGCAGTTATGCCTGCAGAATGCTAGATAGTGCCATAGTTGTTATTCTTCAAATTGCTTTTCATTCAGCCTAGACCTTGTTGGACCTGGCAGCTACACAGAGCTTGGGGTCCTAAACAGTAGGGCATGAGAGCAGATCCTACGCCTGACCTTGTATGATTATTTTTGAACCCTTTAAAGTGTATAAGGAAGTGAATTTTTGTTTCTCCGTGTCTATTACTCTGCAATGCTTGACCTTGCAATGACATTGAACCATGTTTGTACTGTGCTGCCCATTTTCCCAAACTCAGTCTTTCAGAAGTTTCATAGTTCTGTCTGATGAAGGTAAATAATAGTGTCATCTGCAAACATTCACTCTGCACAGCTCCCTCTGCCCAAGGGGATTTTTATTATAAATATTTTACATCTCATCTCTCACAAGTAATGCTTTTTCTCCATCAAAGAATTTTTGTTTGGTATATCTCTTTTTAGCAAGGAAAAAAAAAATTGGCAATACCCAGAACCTTTCCCGTTTAAGCCCCATATTCTCATAATGGCACTGTGTGTTCCCCTAGATGCACTTGTCCTGTTATCTATGCCCATTTGCAGTCTGATTAAAGCTGCTTGATCTTGTCCTATAATATATCTAAGGCTTAGATAGGAAAAATTGTGAATGGTTCAAATAGTTTAGAAAGAGTATATACTAACTCAAAAACAATAGCAAAGACACTACTCCTTCATTCTCTTTCATACAACTGTAGCTTGTATAAAATTAGTATTTACATGCCTTATCTATTATAAGGTAGTAGCCAATAGTATCTCATCTTTCAAAGCAGTTAAAAGCAATTATGAAATATGAGAAGATTCATTTCCTCATCTCTCATATGCAATAAACCACAGACATTTCAGCACCAGATTGAAGGTTACATGTCTTATCAGTGCCTTATCCAAATATAATATATCAGTGTATGCAAATTGATTAATATTATATTGAAATAGTGAGAATATTTCAATTTGGACAGTATTTCTTTAATGTCCAGACTTCATTACTGAATCTATTCTTTGCCATTGCTCAGTAATTGTCACATAGTGATGCAAATGCCAAGCAAAATTAAAGCAGTGAAACATTTATAGTCCATATAGAAGATGTGAGATGCAGACTTTAATTGCAACCGGCAGTTTTTGATTTCAGAGGGATTTGTACTGTTCCGTCAATGTTCCCCTAAGATTTAAAATAGCCAGCCAATGAAATCACGTACACTACTTACAGAAATTAAAAATGCAGAATAAAAACTTTAGCACACAGTTATTGTTGTCTGTAGTGGATCAATTAATTTTCACTAAGAGGCTGATTAGGATGCTTCAGTATTTATGCACACTCCTCACAGTATTTAGCTTGAGAGAGCTCATTAGCTGTAGCATTTGACAAATCAGAATTTAGCAGTATAAAGAGAATGTTATTTTTAAATAAGCTTATGGACAAGCACATTGGTTGACCATTGGTATATTGTTTGGTACCAGGTCTATCCCAGGTGTAATTCCACCAACCTTATTTGAGTTGTACCAGGAGTTTATTTGGCTCAGAACTGTTCATTGATATCCTACTGAAATGTAGCTTGGAACCTCCGAATCTCCAGTGAATTGCAAAAAATTATTACAGTTTTACTATTACATCTGCCAAGTGTTGGATAGACTCCTGAGCAGACTTAACTAGTTAGTTCATTACCATGCTGGGGCAAGAGTACTCTGATTTATACCATCCCAATAGCAGAGTGCAGAGCCTGCAGAGTGTACATCTTACAACAGAATCTGGCCCACTCTGCACCTTCTGAATATTAGCTTGGCCTGAGGTAAATGAAGACCTTTGTGGCTTATCACAGTTACAGTTTACATGAATATAATGCACACATGAATGTAATGCTTCATTCATGTGTGTCCTATATCAAGGCTCAGCGAATGCAGACTCAATCACTTTGACAATACCACGAAATACGTCCCAGTAAAGGCAGAAGGAGAGCCCAAGTCACACGAATTCCAGCCACGTGAACTGGCAATTGCACCACAGAATATTTCCTGTCCATCTTTGTGTATCAGTTGCAACAACTACTGGGCAATCTTCCTTCTCTAACCCTACCAGAATAGATGACCAATATGTGATGCCTACTATGAGCCAAGGAGCAAAAATAGTGAATTAACATGGAATCCTTAGCTTATAAGCACATGCAACCTGAGAATAGGAAATGGATGCTACAAGCCAGGTTTTTGGATAATAAAAATCCTTACAAATCTATTAATTTCCATTCTGCAATTATAGATTTCAACACTAATTAAGTCTTTCTTTGTAAAAAAAGTTTCTTCTTTGTCCTCATACTCAGCTTCTGACAGACTCTTCTTTTTTATCCTCTCTGGTGCCTGCTCAGCTTCACAGCTGCACATGTGAACACAGCACAATGCACAGCATGCATTTAGGTCATATTAAGGTAGAAAGAGGATACGAGAAGGAAAGGTAATGTTCTGAAATGGGCAAAGGGCAAAGACAGTCATCTGCCTTCTGCTTTTCTCTCTGACTGTGTATGATCTGCTGGGAAGCACTGATCCCTCAGTCCCTCAACTCAAGAGTCCCTCTGGAGCAGGTACTTTGCATGGACAGCAGTGCTCTGCATTGCTTTATTGTGTAATTCTGGATTTATGCATTCTACAATACTTCGTAGGGCTCAGTCCCTACAACAGCAAGCAGAAAATCTTTATCTGAAGCAATATATATAATATATTGCAAGTATTGCAAGACAGAGGGTAGGAAGCATGAAAAATCAGATCACTGAGAAATTGTGTGTGTATGTGTATGGTTGTAAATATGTACACATGAGATATGGGGAGACATACTTGCCAGATATGTTTATAATCCCATTGATGCTTTGGAAATGCACTGAATTTTCTGTGATTTAGGAATGTAGCATAAAAAGTAACTTGTCAAATATTGGTAATGGAGCAGGAAATTTGTCAGATAGTGGTCAACTACTCTCTTGATCTGAAAGGTAATCTGCTTTACACATTCCCCCAGTCAATACTATGTCTTCTTCAGCTGCACTGGAAAATAATTCCTAGAAACAGAAATCCTGTGATGAAATGAACTTGGGGAGTTCCCACAAAAATAAAAAATTGCCCGTGATTTTAAATGCCATGTGTCTGCTGTGGGATATTTGGACTTGCTCACATCAGGTGCTAATTATCTGTGTATATGAGAGAGTACTCAAGAGAAAGAGTATTAGAGTTTGTTGGTGATCAGTATGAGATGAGAGATGAGACAGAAAAGGAGAAGAAAAGGCTAATATTTTCAAACTGAATTTGGCAGAAATATCACAATTCCTGAGAAAGAGTCTGTAAGATTTGTCCAGTAGTTGTTTGAACAGATGAATGACTTTTTTGCTAATCTCTGAACTTCCCTTCCCTTTTAAACCTAATGCCAACAGAGGATGATGAAGGGGTTTTAGTCAGCTGAGATTTTCAAGTTGGCCAACCTAAATGAAGAACAGTGTGACAAAAGGAGACTTTATCATTGTGTTGATACAAGGTCTCCTACAGTTGGGTTGGGAGCAAGTTGTGCAAAAGAGATTGCTTTTAAAGATAACATTTGACAACCGCTCCAGGCTGGTACGCTCCGAGTTCACTTATTCCTGTAAAATAGTCCTTCCATTGTTGGACACGCCAGTCACTTGATGGCTTGCTGACACCACAGGTGGCACTGCCCTGCTTGCAGTGAGCACCAGGGTGTTGGTGACACCAACCAGGTTTGTTGGTGACAAAGCAGGACCTTCCTGTGGGTCCCCTGTCCCCAAGGCCGTGCTAGCAGTGCCAAGCCACCCCCACCCACCTGCTGCGTGTTTGCCTCCCGGCGGCCATTTCTCCCATCTGCCCATATTTTGTATTTTGTTCCGGACCCTAACACAAACGTGGGCTTTGAGCCAAAGCCGTGTCTTGTCACGCTGGGAACTGCTGCAAAACGCGG